TGATCATAGTGAGTGGGGTTTGGCTGAGAGGGAATAAGACTTCACCAGCAGGTAGGAAGACGATACCATCTTGTAATGTAAGCGAGTAGGTGCCCTGGGGGAGGAGGGGGAAGGAAGAAGAGGAGGGGGAAGGAAGAGGGTGAAGTAGGAGGAAGAAGGGGATGGGTCACTCAGCCCCCACGTCTGCTGCCTCAGGGAGCTCGCCCGAGGCCCTACTACTGAAGGAGAGAGAGAGACAGAGAGAGAGAGAGAGAGAGAGAGAGAGAGAGAGAGAGAGAGAGCAAACTAATTTCTACAAAAAGAACAAAATGGTGGCATTGAGAACGACACACACACGAGTATACAATATTAATCTGTCCTCCAAAATAAAAACAAACAAAAATATATAACCCCAAAAAAATCCTTCAATTATAGAGTTTAAAAAAAGGTTTAATTAGTATATATATTTATTCGCGAACTCAGCTCCCGCGAGTAAACTTTCCTCCCCTCAAACATCACTTCTGTCACCTGTGTCGAGCCAGTGAACAAGTCTGTCAGTACACAAGACTATGTTGACAGAGGAAACACAGCACCGACCCACGTGACCAAATACCTAATTCGTCGAGAGAGAGAGAGAGAGAGGGGGGTGGGGAAGTTTCATTGTTAACGCATTGCTACAGTGTTCCCAAACAAGTGAACATCATCCGTGAATTAGTGTTACCAGGTAAGTGACTATTGTGTGTGTGTGTGTGTGTGTGTGTGTGTGTGTGTGTGTGTGTGTGTGTGTGTGTGTTACTTGCTGGAGGAAGACTCGTCTGCTTGTGGGTGTTGATACGAGCCGCCATTATGGACTTTCTCTTACAATTTGACGCTCATTCTGTCATCTCTGTTTTAATAAAGTTCATTCCTACCGCCCCACACATATGGATCTTTAGTATAAAAAGAATATATTTTTTCCCTGTTAACCACCTGTCCACTCCAGCCACAATAAATATAACAATATGCAGTCTGTAAGAACAAAAGAATTATGTATTAATAAATTTCAAACTCTTTTGTAGATATTAATATATGAATACAGTGCTGCTCTTTACAGTCCTGCGAGTCATTGAAAAAGTTGACTGGCCTCCAAATTGTGTGCGAGTGAAAACGTTAGCCTGCGAGCATCAGGCCAGAGTTACTCACGGTCAGTGGAGCAGTGAGTAAGGTGCGAGTTATTCTCATGACAACGCTCGCGTCAAGAAACTCGCACCGTGTAAACGAGCGTCGGTGCGTAGGTGTGACGAGGTGATTACAGTGCATGGGCGTGACGTACGGAAGTGTGAGTGCATGGGTGTAACGCATGTACAGTAAACGAGAGCATGGCTATGACACAATGAACGCAGCAGGGATGTACTGTACATGTGTAATCTAGTGTGCGAAAACTACATATATACTAAACGCGACATTACACCAGAGAGAACATTGTCCGCCACAGTGCACTCGAGGGGGCGTGTGTTAAGGCTCTGAGGAAGGTCAAGGTGAGTCTAGGTGAGTCTAATTGATTGCAGGAGGTGTTGTGGAGGGATCAGGTGACCCCAAGATGTGTGGCCGACGTATCCAGGTAGATCCTTATGAATTCCTTTGGGTCACGGGAGGATAGCCCGGCCAGTCCTTAAGAGGTCCTTCTGGTGGCCGAGGGACTTAAGGGTGTAGTCTGGTACACTTGGTATAAGGATGTGTCAGGATAAGAAGGATGTATCAGGGTAAGAAGGATGTGTCAGGATATAGAAGAGAAGGATGTGTCAGGATATAAATAAGAAGGATGTGTCAGGATATAGAAGAGAAGGATGTGTCAGGATATATAAGAAGGATGTGTCAGGATATAAATAAGAAGGATGTGTCAGGATATATAAGAAGGATGTATCAGGATATATAAGAAGGATGTATCAGGATATATAAGAAGGATGTGTCAGGATATAAATAAGAAGGATGTGTCAGGATATATAAGAAGGATGTATCAGGATATAGAAGAAGGATGTGTCATGATATATAAGAAGAATGTGTCCAGGATATATAAGAAGGATGTGTCAGGATATATAAGAAGAAGAATGTGTCAGGATATATAAGAAGGATGTGGATATAAAATAAGAAGGATGTGTCAGGATATATAAGGAAGGATGTATCAGGATATATAAGAAGGATGTGTCAGGATATATAAGAAGGATGTGTCAGGATATATAAGAAGGATGTGTCAGGATATACAAGAAGGATGTGTCAGGATATATAAGAAGGATGTGTCAGGATATATGTGTCAGGATATATAAGAAGGATGTGTCAGGATATATAAGAAGGATGTGTCAGGATATAGAAGAAGGATGTGTCAGGATATATAAGAAGGATGTATCAGGATAAGAAGAATGTGGATATATAAGAAGGATGTCAGGATATATAAGAAGAATGTGTCAGGATATATAAAAAGATGTGTCAGGATATATAAGAAGGATGTGTCAGGATATATAAGAAGGATGTGTCAGGATATAGAAGAGAAGGATGTGTCAGGATATAAAAGAAGGATGTGTCAGGATATATAAGAAGAATGTGTCTAGTTGGGCCCCATGCATGTCCAGTTGGATCCCATGGATGTCTAGTTGGGCCCCATAGATGTCTAGTTGGGCCCCATAGATGTCTAGTTGGGCCCCATAGATGTCTAGAGGCTACCAGGTAGTGAGGGAGAGAGAGGAGGAAGTCGTGGAGGTAGTGAGGGAGTGAAGGAGTGAAGGAGTGAGGGAGTGAAGGAGTGAGGGAGTGAAGGAGTGAGGGAGTGAGGGAGTGAAGGAGTGAAGGAGTGAGGGAGTGAAGGAGTGAGGGAGTGAAGGAATGAGGGAGTGAAGGAGTGAAGGAGTGAGGGAGTGAAGGAGTGATGGAGTGAAGGGAGTGAGGGAGTGAAGGAAGTAGGCGGTGAATAAAAACAGTGAAAGACCCGACATACTCCCCTATTCCCCTCCCACCACCCACTCCCCTCCACCCACTCCCCTCCGCCCATTCCCCCTCACCCACTCCTCCTCCCCCACTCCCCTTCACCCCCCCACGCCCACTCCCTCCCACCTGACCTCCGTGTTGAATGATTATTAATTTCTCTTCCTTTATCGGTGTCTCTTTATTTCTAATTCTTTTATTCACGTTTTCCTGTGTCTCTTTCCTTCTCGCTTTCTCCTTTGTTCCTCCTCTGTTGTGTGTTCATGTCTGTCAATCAGTTCATCTCTTTATCGACTTCCTCTCTTTTCATTACATTCTCTCTCACTTTTTTTTCCTTGTTTTTTTTTATATCTTTAATTTCATTCATTATTTATCAGTTTCTTTTAATAATCTCCCTTCTCCTTCATTCTCTCATTACTTCTATTCTTCCTTCCTTCCTTCTTTTACTCTATTTTATCTTCTCAGGGTACTGCTATTACTACTACTACGAATAATAATAATAATAATAATAATAATAATAATAAATAGCTAAAATAATATAAATACAAAAACCAACAAACAATAAGAAACAACAACAAACATCAATAACAACAACAAACAAATAAACATCAATAACAACAACAAAATCTGTGTAATCGTCAGCTGATGATGAGTCACCCACAAGGTCCACGTGACACTTTGTTTATTTCCTACTATGTCAACAAACAACAGCTGATCGTCCGTATAAGGAGGGGTTCACACACACACACACACACACACACACACACACACACACACACACACACACACACACACACACACACACACACACACACACACACACACACACACACACACACACACACACACACACTTCTCTCATAAATATGCATCCATCTATATGTATTAACAACGCACATAGAGAGAGAGAGAGAGAGAGAGAGAGAGAGAGAGAGAGAGACTTAACCTAACCTAACCTCTAACACAACAACATATACATAATCTCAGTTACTTAAGCCTCCGTCACCCCCACCCCCCTCCCCCAGGTGTTCACATTATCTCAGGTAACACACTAAGATCCCAAAAATATACACCTGATCTGAGAGTTTGCCAAGATATCAAATTACGTCAAAAATTTCAGACAGGTATAATATTTTTAATACAAATGAAAGTTATAACTCCTTGTTTTTCTTATTGTTTTTTTTTCTTATTAAGTTTTGTTCTTATTATTTATATATTTTTATTTTTTTTATCTCTTTCTACTGTTACTGGAATTCCTGGTTATAAAACACCGCTACTTGACCCACAAATTGGATGCTGATAAGATTAGATAAGAAAGACCTGATGGGCTATGTTATCACGGGTGTCGAGGGGCTATGTTATCACGGGTGTCGAGGGGCTATCTTATCACGGGCCTAGAGGGCATCATAAACACGTCTACGGTATGTCTTTCCCTTCATTCCTCCGCTTGTTGGGTGAAGTTGTGGTCTTAGTAAGAGACAAGTGAGCTGATCATGCAACCAAGTCGTCCATATCCACGAGCAATCAAACTAAACACGAGAATCTATGCTACTGTGTCTAAAATACCGGGGTGGACCAACACATCCACCCTCCAGTTTGTGTGAATACTGGAATCTCGGTGTGAGAAAATAACATAAATTTGGCTCTAAATCGATGAAGATATCCCTCAAAGAATATAATCACCGTCAGGGCAACACGATCACAACTGTCCATCCGATCAACCAGAGGAGCTCAGGTAGGTTTCCTCGGTAATCTCCTCAGTAAACAACGCGACGATCCATCACCTGGCTCCTCCACACAATCTGTTGCAGAACTGTTACTTATAACCTCTTAAGACTTAGAACGTTTATGGTTTTATATTTTTGGGTTATTTTGTCACTGAAAAATATTAGCAACAATGAAAGCGACTGTCGGAGACGATATAAAGTGTACAGTGTTGTATATGTTAGCTCCTCACCTCAGCACCAGGCACAACTCACCAGTACAGACGGTCAGTAGATAACACTTTTAACTAAAGCTAGAGAGAGTACAGACCGAGGCAGCTCAAGACACACCATGATGCTTACCAGGAGTATTAGATATATCCTCTTCATCGTGGTCGACTGCAGAGGATTAGTTTATGTTGTGAAGAGTCTGGTCCGGTACATCTCCTGGGACTTGTGTGAGTGTTCTTCAGGCAACAATAGGAAGGAAAAGGTTATTTCTAGCTTCCACAACGACGTCTCCGTACTTCCTGAAGAACAATACACTTCTCAATCGCTCAGGTGGCGTCCTCTGCACCACAGAGCGTCGCTATTTCCGTGATCTTGGTGCTATACAAGCGAGGGGGCCAGGACCAACTGAGGTCTGGTCTCTGGGTCTTGCTAAGTTTTGACTGTCGTCGTTTTCTCCGGGAAAGTATATTTCATGGAGAAGAGTCGGGATAGACGATGATCATTCAAGAAGAAGAAGCACCGACTGAAGACGATACTTCTGGCAGAAACCACAGTAGCCGAAGACGATATTACTCCTGCAGAAGGAGTTGCAGCCGAAGCCGACACCACTGACAGAAGCAGCAACGGCCGAAGCCGACAACTTTAGCTGGTAAAAGGAAAGGCGTCCAGCGACGATCCCTCAGATAGCACACAAGCCACGGTCTGGCTGGTGTCTGCTCTCCACACTGTCTTATATAGTGGCTTTCTCTCCTCCCGGGCCGCTCCGTCCTACAAGTCATTTTGAGGGATGGGAAAGTCATCGGCGTAATCCTGTCGCCAGTGGACTGAAATTCCCACAAAACTCTTGAAATATTTCTCTACTGCCATAAAGCCTTGTACTGTACTGTAAGAAATTCAAATGAACTTCGTGAGACAGAGATATATGAGAGGGAGTGTGGGGGAGGATATTAGCAAGATAGTGTTAGTGATAGTGAAAGGACCATTCCATAGCAGTAAAAGGGGAGTTAGTATAGCACTAGAAGGGCTGTGAGTAGATGTTAAGTTTACATACGGTAGTGTTGACCAACCTTACACAACACGGCCACAGCTAAACACGACTATTATCAACGATACACGGGTTCAGGCGGCAAAAATAATTTACTTTTCCTGGCATAAATTTCTTTTTCCATCGTTACATCATCTTCAACACAATTATCAGAAGACAGAGTAAAGGAAGTACTTCTATAATAACTTTTCATAAGGTTAAATATTAAACTCACACTAATCCAGAAGACTATAATTACTTCTCTGTATGACGTAGGAAATTCTTTTAATATATCACTAAAAAGTTTCTACCATAGATAAGAGGTTCAGGCTACCATAATAAACCAGCCAAGAATAACAACATAAAATATTCTAGGTCTTAATGGCTTAATTTATTTCCATCTCTCTATAAATATTTCTTCATCTCCCTCCCACACACACACAGGGTGACATAGGTGTTTCATTCCTTGTAATAACGCACTACAATATATACCTGTACCTCTAAACCTGAGCTTATCAACACATCTGATTTAATTACTAGTAGGGTGGGGTGGGGTGGGGTGGGGTGGGGTGGGGTGGGGTGGGTGGGTGGAGTGGGGTGGGTAGGGTGGGGTGGGGTGGGTAGGGTGGATGGGTGGGTGGGGGAGAAATAATATTTTTTTTTACTCTTCATTATTATCAAGTTATAATGATCATCGTCTTTAATATTCCTCATGAAAAAAAAGTAAAGGAAAAAATAATGAGTGAAGGAGAGGTCGAGTTTCCTCATTAAACACCTGTATACACCTGCTGAACCTACCTTAATGACTTACTACCTTCGTTGATTTCATGGGTAATTAACCTGGGCAAGACCTTGCTAAGAGACGCAGGTAATGATCTTTTAAAAACAAATTACTTGAATTTAATGCATTTCTTTTTACAGTAAACTCAAAATTAATCTTTTAGTCTATGCACCAAATTCTGTCTACGTATATGTATGTATGTATGTATGTATGTATGTATGTGTCTTAATACATAACTAAATATACACCTTCCCATTGGTCACATTAACACCCAGTAACACACCTACAAGCGCTACACTCTGCTGCAGTGTCATGTCATACACCCCTTGTGTTAACCCGAGTACAGAGTCTGCCGGTACTACACGCCGCCGCCCATGACCCATCCACACGCCCACCCAACTCACCCATCACGCCATTCATCCACCCATCATCCATCCATCCATCAACCTACTCATCATTTTATCACTTTCAGTAACACGGTTGAATGAGTGGAAAATGTTCCCACGTTCCCCAACCAAACGGCAGAACCACCTTTAAGAGGCTCTCTCTCTCTCTCTCTCTCTCTCTCTCTCTCTCTCTTTTCTCAGTCTCATTGCTTCTTTCTTTTTTTTCATCTCTCTCTCTAAGCATAAGAAGAGGAGGAGGAATAGGAGAAAGAAGGAGAAGAAGAAGAGAAGGAAAAGGGAGGAAGGAGGCAGAAGAGGGGGTAAGGAAAGAAGGAGAGGAAGAAGGGAGGAAAGGAAGAGGAGGAGAGGAATGAGGAATAAGATGAAGAGGAAGAACAAGAAATGGAGAAAGATGGAGGAAGAAGAGGAAAAAGAAGAGAATGGTGAGGAGGAGGAGGAGGAGGAGGAAGAGGAGATGGGATGAGAGAGAGAGAGAGATGGATGAACACTCTCAGAAACCTCACTCGTCACATGGCCCCTAGGTAGATGTGGGCCCATAGGTAGATGTGGGCCCATAGGTAGATGTGGGCCCCTAGGTAGATGTAGGCACAAGCAGACAGGAAATAGTACAAATAGACAAAAACAAACACAAACAGATAGGAACAAATACAAACAGAGAAGCACAAACAGGAACATAGACAAGAACAAACACAAGAAGAGAAACAAACACAGACAAATAGACAAGAACAAACAAGCAGAGAGGAACAAACACAGACAAATAGACAAGAACAAACAAACACACAGGGACAAACACAGACAAATAGACAAGAACAAACAAGCAGAGAGGAACAAACACAGACAAATAGACAAGAACAAACAAACACACAGGGACAAACAGAAAAGCACAAACAGACAAATACAGGTACAAGCACAAGCCGACAGCAAGGCAAACATACCCCAAGTAATTGTTGTTCGGGAAATCCTCAAGTAAGAGTTGGCGGAGTTGGCGGATGTTATTGTGTCCTGGTCAAGAGTTTAAGAGTTCACCAGCTTTAGGGTGGCTTCAACACTAAGTTAGGTGAGCAAATACGAACGTTTCTCGTGTGTGTGTGTGTGTGTGTGTGTATGTGTGTGTGTGGGTGTGTGTGAAAGATTTACTAGACACCATTCAGATTACACAGTCAAAAAGATTTATAAACTTTCAACGTTACGCACCATTGCTCTACTCGGAGGAACTTAAAAAAAAAAGTCTTGTTACGTTATAATACTTTTGGTCTTACGCATCATTACCGAGAGAGAGAGAGAGAGAGAGAGAGAGAGAGAGAGAGAGAGAGAGAGAATGAATAAGGTAGTAAAAGAGGGAGAAAGAAAAAAGAGAGTGGGAAAGAGGAAGTACTGTAGCTTTAATTGAACACCGCTCGAAGCAACTCAGTCAGTGAAGCGTCTGCCTTTTAAGTACGATTTTGGTATTACTACAAGTCATTTCGGACAGTGTTTCACTTTCTCTACGTTCAGTGAAACAACACATTAAACTCCTCCTTGGATTCAAAGTAATGACGGTATTTTCTGTCTCGATTACGGTGTTTATTCGCTCGAAACATTTTTATACCAAGAATTTCGAATAGTCTCATTAAATTTTGTTTTTGTTGTTTCCGGGTTTTGGTTCACGGGTTCGTTGGTTCGAAAAGTCTAGTTATCAGTATTTTCGAGTGTTTTTGTTTAGGAGAATGTTTTAAGTTTAATGTTTCTTATATGTGAAGCATTTGAGACTTTCGAATCATTTTATGTCATTTCCTTTCTATCCCAAATACCTCGCCATCTCCTCCCCCACCTCCTTTTCCCTTCTTATCTCTTCTCTTCTCTTTCTCTCCCGCTATCCTTTTCTTATCCCATTCTCCTCCTCTTCTGACCTCTCCTCCCCCCTATCCTCCTCTTCTCACCCCCTCTCCTCCCCCTCCCATCCCTCTCTCCTCGCCCTCTCATCCCCCTCCCATCCCTCTCTCCTCGCCCTCTCTTCCCCCTCCCATCCCTCTCTCCTCGCCCTCTCATCCCCCTCCCATCCCTCTCTCCTCGCCCTCTCATCCCCCACATCTTCAAACAAACGTCAAGAAATATTAACAACATCCAATTTCCAGATAAATAAGCGAACAGAAACAATGAAGTCAATCAGATAGTGTCGACAGGGGAAGGGGGTAGGGGAGAGGGGAAAGGGGGATTAAACATTAATGTTGAGTGTTAGTTGAGTAGTGCATCAATTATTACCTCACAGGAGCCTCCACCTGATATTACCTCACAAGGGGAGCCTCCACACACAATTAATACCTCACAGGGGCCTCACACATACAATTATTACCTCACAGGGAGCCTCACACACACAATTATTACCTCTGAGGCCTCACACAATTATTACCTCCTGAGGAGCCTCACACACAATTATTACCTCACGAGGCCTCACACACACAATTATTGCCTCTGGGGGCCTCACATACAATTATTGCCTCTTGGGGGCCTCCACACACACAATTATTGCCTCACAGGGAGCCTCACACACACACAATTATTACCTCACAGAGCCTCACACACACACAATTCAACACCTCATGAGGGCCTCCCACCACACACAATTATTACTGCCTCACAGGGCCTCACACACACCTGATTATTACCTCACAGGGGCCTCACACACACAATTATTACCTCACAGGGGCCTCACACACACATTTATTACCTCATAGGGAGCCTCACACACACAATTATTACCTCACAGGGAGCCTCACACACACAATTATTACCTCACAGGGAGCCTCACACACACACAGGGAGCCTCACACACACAATTATTACCTCACAGGGAGCCTCACACACACAATTATTACCTCACAGGGAGCCTCACACACACAATTAATACCTCACAGGGAGCCTCACTCACACACACACACACCGCCTCCCTTCCTCCCTGCCTGGCTGGCTGTTAAGTGTCTTCAGCCAGCGGTAAGTGGCACTGAGCTCACCTCCTCCTAAGGATGACAACAAAAACGAAAAGTAAAAGGGAACACGAAGAGTCACAGAAGGTAATTTACTGTGCATTGTTTTACCTGCTGGTGTTTCCCCTCTCTCACTCAGGTGTACATGTGTGTGTGTGTGTGTGTGTGTGTGTGTGTTGTTATTAGTTACCTGTGTGATTTTTTGATCTCTCTAGGTGTATCATTACGTCTGTTTAACACTTAATAGTTCACCTGTGTTACCTGACCCGTGAGTTTCTTTATCTGTGAAGTGCAATGGATAATATTTGGCGTCTTTTAATGTGGTCTTTATTATTTGTAACTATTTTTTTTATCTCTTTCCTGAGTGTTCGTCTAAGTTGTGATACTATTACTAGTACTACTACTAATAATAACAACACCAGGACCAGGACAGTATCACATAACACAACAGACTGTCCTTACAACCCATCAACTCAGTCTCAGGTGTACGTACAAATAATCCACAAAAATCCTCCCACAA